AAATCAAAACAAATGATTAAACTCAATTATCTCAAAATAAAATTTATGTAAAAAAGGGCTGTTTTAATAGATAACACTCCATATAGAGCACTAATTCGCTAGGGTGGATGGGTGGGCGATACTCTAGTAAACGATAATGGTAATGGGAATCGGATTAGACAAACAGATTATCGAATCGGTAAAAATAATACCCGAATCATTAAAGATTAGCGAGTAATCTAGTAAAAAATAAAAATAAATTTTCAAGGCAAGTAGATCTAACTAAAAAAGAATAAACATTGCAAGTGTTTTGAAAATCAACGAGAAAAAAAAGCAGGATCTTACAATAAATAGATTAAGAGGATATTTTAAATAGTTTGTACGATTAATTGTCTAAATTAGCAGATTGTACGATTATTCTGTTCGGATTAGTAGTTTGTGCTATCCTCAGTTTTCTATAGGATGTTAATATAAAGCATAGCTAAACGCGGATTCAACCTAACGTGATTACGTAGCGGATTTTATATACTAATTTACAACGCGGGTTTCACCCAGTTCTATCATATTTTTTTTTTTTCAAACATGCCAATCGACGCCGCAACTTCGGCTCTAAATCTTTCATTTCCTCCCACAACCTCAGCTACTGGGTTTGTGGTTCCTCAAAGCCGTTCTTTTACAGTATCAGTTAATCCAGTAGTGTTGTTTTCTATACTCGATCATTACCTTCGAAGGCAAGAAAATCAACATCGGGTTATTGGAACGTTGCTTGGCGTAAGAAATGAAGATGGTAGTGAGGTTGAAGTTCGGAATTGTTTCCCTGTTCCCCATGATGAGTCTCAAAATCAGGTGTGTTTTGTACAAACAATAAAGTGCATATAGATGCCTATTTTCATAAATCTGTTCTGTAAGTGATAAATTATTCTCGCTCTCAGGTTGCCGTAGATATGGTATACCACCAAAGTATGTTCGAACTTCACAAAAAAGTCAATGCCAAAGAAGTGATTGTTGGATGGTATGCCACCGGATCCAATCTCAATCAATGGAATGCTCTTATTCAAGATTTCTATTCTAAGGAAGTTTCTCCTCCATTTCAAGCTATTCATTTAACAATGGATACGGATCTTAAGAATGAAGAAAAACTCTTGGGCGTTAAAACCTATGTTAGGTAAATTTAATATTTTTTTTTAAGTAATTCTTTGCGACTTATTAATATATTGAAAT